CACACGTACATGGTTAATCGAGATTAAGGGAATCGCGATTCTAACGCGCTTAGCTAAATTCACTTTTTTGCGTTCACACATGTAAAAACGAAATCGCGATTTACCTTGCTAGATCTGGTAATTGCAACTGTGCTCGCTAGGGGAATCACGGTATATCCTGTTGATCATGCGCAGTAGCTGCCTTCAAGACCATGCTTTCGGTGTGTACGGTGTTATTTTCTGTTTAATATTCTCATCGGCCCAAATATTTGTTTATGCTGCCACTGAGTTTTCAGACCATACTTCCTCTTGGCCATTTTGCTGACTGCGAAGAAACTTGAAATTGCGTGGACAGTTTGTTTTCTTTCACTTTCCAGTCGGCGAATAGCTGTATTTAGCTAGTGTTTCGTTTCAATTTATACCCGACATGAAATAAAATTTATTGTATTGTATTGTATTGTACTTTCGATAGAAACTATGCACGCGCCTTAAGTCCTCAACTTCCGGTGTTTACACCGATCCCGTTCTCACTAGGAAATTTTATATCGCGATTTAAGTTTACATCGATAGAATCCACCTCTCGAGTAGGATTAATTTGAATCGCGATCTGGCGTCTCTACTGCGTTCACACTAGAAGCTTTACATCGATAGAATCGCGATTTGGCACTAATCGCGATTGAAAGTGTCTCGTGTGAATGGGGTTTATATGTAGAGCACAAGGGGGTGACATCTTCTGCAATCTCACAAGTAGACATTTCAATATATAATTTTTAACTCGCGTTTTAGTAGTATTCCTTACAGCATACATAAAACTGTAACTCTGTTACAGGTAGGAATTAATTCACTTATTATTATTTTGTCCCAGTTGAGCATGGGACTCCCATAAATTCACTAGCAAACCACTTGGTCTAAGCCAAGTTTAACGCTTGCCAGCTCAAATTAGAAAACCGTTAGTCTGTCGGAAACATTGTGTATATATTAGCACTCGCACCTTTTTATGAAGGGCCGTTCATGTAATGAATAGATTTGCATTTGCAAAGCTTTAAAAATTCTTGTATGTAATTAAACGCTTTAGAAGCGCAGATTGTAGTTAAAATATTTTACTTTATAATTTAGATATTATAAAATCGATGATTATCAAGACTAAGAGAATGGTATTTTTACCTTTCTCGGAAGTACAACATGTACGGTACCGTACGATAATTTAGAGAACTTTCCTCGGGCCCGTCTAAGGTCTATCGCTTTTTCTCCCCACCTTTTATGGTTAAAGGAAATGACACCACATTACGCATTAGGAATCAATTATTTTGCCTATTAGGTTGAAAAAATATAAAGGAGTTATCCATCTCTGGTAAAATGTGTTTACCCAAACAAGGTTGTGAATTAGAACAATGGGTTAACGCCCATTGTATTAACACAGAATAGGAAGTGACTCCAAAGATCCAAAAGTTGAAATATAACCATAAAACAGAGCAAAAAATCCTCGCCTTTTTATTTTCCTCAAAAATCCGTAGCTGTTATAAAAAAAAGACATCATGTTCAAATTTTGGCGCATGCGTTGAAAGCATATTAAAACCACACTGGATAACATTTTCTGCCTACTCAGAGGTAGATTTTAATTTCATTTCAGTTTTTTTTCACTCGTGCTTTTTTAAAAAAATTGTATTTAAAAATCACTCATTAAAACCTAACTCTGTCATAAATATAAAAGTGTAAATAAATGAAATATTTATGTTATCAACTCAAGATTTATTTTAAATAATGATTATACCCAGTATGTCATATAAAACGATGATTCTACGTGTAAATACTCATTGAATATATAAATAGCCCTAATGCCTGAGTACTCGGCCGTGTTCGATTCACTGAATGAATACGCACTTCTTCGTGTAAGTATTGAGTCTGCTCACCGCATTTTTCTTTATACTTTTTACTTCCCCTGGGCACTGTTAGTTTGTCTTACAATTGGAATTTACGGATTTCTCACATGCAGTAACCTGAACTTCGCAAACACGCTATCACGCACGAATCAAACGTTCTCATGCACAACATGAAAATTTAAGCATCCCTTTTTACATAACTTGCCCCTGCAGAGAAAGAGGCTGCCATAAATTCTCTAGCAAGCCACTTAGCCCATGCTAAGGTTTACACTCGCCAGTCTATATATTGGCAAATCTATCCAACCAGCTGACGTCGTTCAAATTATAGCAGCCGCGATACTTTATCCAGGGCCGTACGTTAAATGATTATATTAACAATTGCAAAGCTTCAAAAATTGCAGTTAATGCATTGCAGACAATATAAGCAAAGCTTCTTGTTATTTTATATTGAAATATGAATTTGATATTGACCAAAATGCTTTCAAAAAATAAATAAAATGCCAAAGGTTCAATGTCTTATCATGGCCAATATGCGCAAAGCATATTTTAGTTATCTTATAAGACTGCCTAAACGGGAATTTCCTGTCTTTCCCAAAAGTTGATTTCATTTTCATTCATTTCTTCTTGAACTTCTTTTGCAATCTCCCCCTTATACCCTAACTCCTTACACTGTCTTTACTAGAAAGTTTTAATATATGAAGTATATGGACACTTCTCCTTCCGAGCAAAGCAATGGAAACCCAACCGACGAATCATTAGTTTACGGTTACGAGCTCGAACGTCGCACTTTGTGCTGAGGGTTGCACAGGGAACGCACAGTGGACGTGCCCTCTACCAGGTCTGCAGTCATTATTGTGGACATTTTTGCTGAGGCAAGCCATCTAGCCAGTGCCAGATATTACCATGCATGTTTATGATGAATAGATCACATTCCGTTATAGATATTTATTAAAACTTCCTCAATTGTTTTTAAATCGTTATCAGACCAGTTTTAAACGACCATTCACTTTTAACCACACTTCTGCCCCACGAGCTGTAACCCAAAACCTCTTTTACACCTTGACTCCACGTGAAATGCCAAAAATCAAAATATCTCACTGGTTGAGCTGACATCTTATGTATGTCTTGTTATTTATTTACTATAAATGTGGCCCCATTGACCACCGGGGCCGCCCAAAAATGACCGTAAGCCACTCGGCCTATTGCCAAGATTTATGCTTACGTTTGAATAACAGCACCGGCTCATAGGCATCTTGATACTTTTACCAACATTGATATCTTATTATCATTATTATCCTATCGATGATTAAATTTGCATTTGCAAAGCTATGAAAATATACTGAAACATAATATGTAATTAGTTTGTACAGTTTACTTTTTATTACTTTTAACCTATAATTTTGATATTTAACTGAGCTAATTCTAATTACTTTAGAAGTAATTGAATAAGCATATAAATGATATGGTAGGGTTGCACAGGGGACGTGCCCTCTACCACGGCCGCAGTTATTATTGTGAACATTTTTGCTAAGGCGAGCCATTTAGCCAGAGCCAGAGACTAGCCATCTCTTTAACCAGGGACACATCTGTTAATATCTAGTGAAATATCAATCTGTGTGGCCCTGTTAGAGGGTACAGTGGACGCAGGAACGTCGCTCGCACTTACACAAGATTCGGTCGTATAAATGGCGTACTAAGGTGACAAACGGCTACGCCTTTACACTGAGACCCAATTGCTTTGGAATTAGTTGAGCGCCCTAACCACTTTTACGACCACAGTTAGATCATGGTGTTAACACGTTTCAATGCCAGCCCCTGGGGGTAGTAAGAGGCCTAAGCTTGTCCGTGCCAGGAACATGCTTAAATAGAATCTTCCGAAAAAAAAACATGTATGTTGATATGTACAATCTGCGTTATGTTATGAAAGGCTTTTACTTCGTGCTTAGATATATATTTGCGTAGCATTTAAAAAATACTTAAAAAAGAATTCTTAATTATACAAATAATTACAATTGCAATATATTAATAAATTATTGTGATATTTAAAAAATTGTCATAATCACAATTTTAACAGAAATATTTGCAAATATGAATTAGTATGAATTGTAATTTGACGCATGCGCACACATTCAGTTCCTTTCTCAGGAAAGGATCATTTAAATAGAAATGCATGTTTTTACTTTTATAACAGCTACGGATTTTTGAGGAAAATAAAGAAAAGGCGAGGATTTTTTGCTCTGTTTTATGGATATTTTTGGGACTTTGGAGTCACTTCCTATTCTGTGTTAATACAATGGGTGTTAACCCATTGTTCTTATTCCAAATCTTTACCAGAGATGAATAACTCCTTTATATTTTTTAAACCAAATAAGTAAAAATACTTGCTTCCTATTGTGTAATGTGGCGTCATTTTTATTAACCATAAAAGGTGGGGAGAAAAAAGCGCCAAAGCGCTATTAAATTGCATACCGCAATTAAGTAGAAATATGACTAAATAAAGTAGGAAAACACCTGAAATCGAGGGTTAGATGGGGAGGGAAGGTGGGTAAAAGAAAGTGGTCATAGTAAGTTCACCTTACCTTTTCTTGACTATACTTAATATATCAATCGACTCAGCGTTTTCTTCGCAAACTTCGTCCTCCGTGCTCTCTCTTCTATGTTGAGAAGCGATCTGCTGGTGTCTTGTGTTCTCGCGCGTATTACGCGTTGTGTCACGTGACAAACATGCGTAAGTTGTTATTGGTCTATTCTGGTATAGTAGGAGGAGCGACTGTCGAGTGTATACATCAGTTTATAACACTTATGAGCCACACTGTGTGGCTCAGGAAGCGACTCCAAAATCCTTGCATATAAATGAGATTATTTCATAATCTTTATTTGTTTTTTCCCAGCTCTTTACACAGTCATTAGCAAAGAGTATAAATTAAATAAGAGTATGGTCATTTCCCCTAAACTGTACCAAACAAGAGAGACGGAGACAAAAATATCACATTCCTTTACCGATCTTTATTACAATAGTACACTTATGGATTATTATACAGCTGCACAGTGGTATTACTATTAGAAGAAGCGTGAAACATACCCAAATACATTCCCCCTCTTTCAAACATGCAAAAACAACACAGAAAAAAACGTTTCAGCTCAGCTTTAAACGTTTATTCAAATTCTTAAATTAAAAATATAAATACAGTCTTATGCCCCTTAACAAATTCAGAAACATTGCTTACAGAAAATAAACATTCTTTCCGTTTGATTTGGTCGTTTTGGATTTGCTTTTGATCTAGTGACTTACAATTTCATCCATTTATGTATTACCGGTTATTTTCCTTTGCTCGATTGCTCTGGAGTAGACAGTGGGCTTTATTTGCACAGTGTGCTATCAGATTGGTGCCTGCTACCCCGTGTTGAAAACTTATCACATGTAATCGCATTATTATTCAAGGTTATTTCCAAGGACAGCCTTGTTGGAGGTCTCTGACTGAGTGACTACTGACTCTCTAACAGAGGTTTCTACCTGTTACAAAATTGTATAGAAATCTGTACAATTTGTAACTGCTACACGACCTCACGACTGGTAGAGAGTGTCTTGTTCTAAAAACCATTTAAATGCACCTTATTACGTAGCACACGTGCCCAGTACGTTAATTAAGTCAATTTAGATACCCAACATATCATATACAGTGTATGTACAAATATACTGAGTAGTGTATTTGGATTAGAAAAATGCTCAACTGGATTTCTTGAACGTCTTTTTTTCCTATGTAATGATACATCGTAACTAGCACTAAGACGACAGTTTAATCAACATATACATATGTATTGATCACTTCGCATTAAAAAGTAATGATGGCACCAACAATAATAAATAGTAATTAATAGTAGTTACTTAACATTTTGGCATTTACGAGAAGTACATGTATATACAAAGTTGCTATGATATTGCTTCACTTGAGATTCAGAATACATATCTTACATGTTGGTGTGAACTAACACGTTTATTCAGATAACTATAAATTCCTAAAAACCTAACCGCCTGTGTTATGTCCTTATATTTCTTATGTGACTTTCGCCTCTGACATAAAACTGCTTCCAACTGTCAAACGGTACCTGGTATACTGATGCCCAGGTATATAAACTAATAATTGTCTTTGGGTAGAAATTCTGTCGAAAAACACAGGAATTCAAAGTTTCGTGTCATCTGGACCAGCCATAGACGGACTATTGTTTAATGCTTTAAACAAAGGATTGTCGAATTTATCCTCAAATGTATATGATAGATTAATGTCGTGGTATTTCAGAGGTTTTAGATTTTTTTCGTCCGAATCGCTGGAAAACCTTCTGGCCTTGTGCCACACGTTGGTGTTTTTTACAATTTTATTTGTTGTAAAAGTTTCTTTAAAGGTCCTCCTGTTGTCATGATTACTATTGTGGGAGTTAGTATGCTCTCCCGAACTTGCTCGCGAGGAAGCTCGAGATCGCGTCTTTTTGAAAGTTCCCGTGGTCACCAGCTGGACCCAGGCGCTTCGAGCCTCAGGGTGTAGCAAGCATCTGAACAGAAATATTAAGAATCCCTGGAGAGAGTTCGCAACGCAGAAGATGTAAGCGAAGACGACTTTTGCTTCCCCTGCAGCGAATGCACCGAACACCCAGGTGATGCCCAGCAGCACCATAACGGAAATTGCGCCGCGGACCTGCGCAGCGGACACCTTCGGCTGCTCTTGACTCCTTTTTCCTTGAAGACCTTTGACCCGAGGTCGCAGAATGACCCTTGACACCAATACAAACACGACGGAGTTGAAGATAAGTATCAAACACGAGGGTCCCAAAAAGCTTATATAGTAGACGTAAGGGTTGGCGCTGGTTAGTCGACACCTATAAAAAGAAAATAAAGAAATAAAATACATCTTGATAAATCATTTTCCTTTCAAAAATATTATAACCATTAAAACGTACTGTGGTGCTTTATAAGAGACAGAGAGCCAAACAGACATTCGAGATTACTAAAAATCCATATTTTGCTTTTGCAATTGTGAGAAGGAGCTTCGATAAATTTTAAACAAAATAGGATCAACATCAATTATAAAGAAAACACTGAAATAAATATTGGTTTCTCACAGATCATCCCTTCCGCCATAGTTGTCCACGTTAATCCCGACTGTTACTCCGACAATTATCAGGGGGATTCCCCACGCGATCAGGAGTCTCTTTAGCATAAATCGAGGCTCGTAAGTCCTAAATATCTTCACCAGAAGCCGGTACATGTGCACTGCTTCCACTAACATCCACATCAGGGTCGTCAGGGTGAAATAGTGCAGTAGCACTGCAACAACTGTGCAGACGACCTCGGCATCTGAAGTTACAAATACAATAATAAAAAGGCCTCACACGGTTTCTTCAAATTCAGATTCTTACAAACTCGGACGGATAAAATGAATTATCGTCCAACTTTAAAACAGCGCCCAGTGGCCAACTTAACACACCCTGTCTTTTCATTATATCTTTCACCTGCCTAACAAAAAAGTGCTACCTATGCATCAGGGAAATGTCATTATTTCATTGAAATTCACAAAAATAAATCCCCTTACCTGACACTGATCTAGCAGTGCCCGCCACGAAAGTTATATTCATCAGCAGCATGGAGGCGCATAAATTGATCAGGATTTTGCCCGAGTTGTCGCCATGGAGACACCTATTTTGATAACAACGTACATTAGACGTGAATTTAGAATCACTCTCAAGATACAAATTGCACCAAATTTTGAACAGCAGCAATTATACAGCTTGCACGCACATAGGATCTGTGTCATCACTATTTCATTACATTGTACCCTCTTTTGCAGCTCTGGTTCAGGTACTTGCAAAAAAGCACGGATGGATGTGATGATTACTTTATGATGTAAACAGCGCGTTATTAAAGAGACAATACATATGTTCATCAACATTTAATAAAAATACACTTCAGAAAATAATGTAATGCATAAATACCTGAACAGTCCGTAAGTCAGAATAGTTAGCACCAGGCCGCAGAGAGAAAGCCCACATCCAATATATGAAATGAGGGCCAGGGATATCTGATGCTGCAATGGAATGGCTTCACTGGGGGTAGGATCCTGGCAAAAGAAAGGGGAAATAAAGAAAATGCACATTTTTTCCAATCTATGATGTTAGTACCAGGCGGACCCTGGATTTTGTTACCTAGCTGCCCCCCTCCCTTCCCTTCCCCTCCCCAATAAATTACTTACGGGTCATTTGGACCTTATCAGGTCAACTACAGAAAATAAAAAAGACGAGGATTTTTTGCTCTGTAATTATTGACGAAAAGCACTTTCTCATCCCATAGTGTCGTGCAAGTGCTTCAGCAGTGGCCAGGTTTAGACAGTAAGTTATGTCCAATATTATAAGATTGTGTCTTACTGTTGTGAGTTATATGTCTGAAGTAGTTACATAATATGTATTTTGGTATTATAATGATCTAAAGTAGTTATACTTATTTAAGCTTATTAAAATTTATGTAAAATTTAATTTACAGCTTGTAAAAAGGTAACTGCACACGTTGCTCAATTAATTATTATAATTAATATTACTAACCACCGGGGCCGTCCAAAAAATGACCGTGAGCTACTCGGCCTATTGCCATGATTTCCGTTTACGTTTGAATAACAACACCGACATATAGGCATCTTGATACTCATAGCAACCGTGGTAATTTATTATCATCATTATCCCATTGACGATTAAATTTGTATTTGCAAACCTATAAAAATTTTAATAAACATAATGTTTAATTTATTTCTATAGTTTACGTTTTCGATATTTTAATTTAGAAATTTGATATTTTACAAACCTAATTTTATTAATCTTAAAATATAATTGAATAAGCTTATGAATGAAGTGGTGTTTTCAACCGCGATACGTGCACAAAGCACGACATAAGCGCATCGGATGACACTTTCGGCTTTTTTAGAAGTTGACTTATTCATTTTTTAAACTCTTTTGATAATCCTCCTTTAAATGCAACTCTCCACACTTTTATTAGCGAAAAGTGTAATTAAATGTAGTACAATGGACCTTGGACCTAAATAGGAATCTCTTATTATGTCCATGAATGGACATTACCCCCTCCATGCAAGGTAAGGGCAAATTGTAGCTCACCTGCCTAATTCAACCGTCGCTGGTAACAGCATACCGTGTATTGTTAGGGGTAAGACCGAGGGAGACAGAGATAAAAAACATCACACTCCGTTAGATATAAAAACTAATTAACATCGTTTGTAAAAAGTCCAGGCTCTGTTACTAAGGAAATAGTGATCCGGAGTATAAGAAATTCTTACTAAGCACGATTATCGTTGTAAGAGGTGAGATGCCCCTTTCACCGCCCCATTCCAATTACATTTAAAGACCATGTTGGTGAAGGATCTTATATTTTATATTTTGACAACCCCGGTCCTGAATGGGGGTCTACATAAATTAACCTGCAAGCGACTCAGCCTTTGCTAAGATTTACGCTTACCAGGTCAAGTTCGAAAATGTGAATTGTAACTGCACATTCTTATATATAATAGCTATCGCGATAGCTTAAGAAAGGCCACCTATCCATGATTGGATTTGCATTTGCGAAGGTTTAAAAATACAATCAATATACATATTTACCAATTGAACATTGCTTTCAGTTAACATTTATTGATTTATTATTTTGATAGTAATATATCAGACAGAGTAAATAAGCCGTGGCTCAATGTAGAATGTGTGGCAATGAGCAATCTAACAGTATTGGTGTATTGTCCTCTTAGCGCTTGTGTATATCTTGCACATAGTGGTTTGGTCATTATATGAATAGATAATTAATCTCCAAGTGTTTATTAATTTTAAAAATAATTGAATAAGCTTATGAATGATGTGGTATTTTCAACCTTGATACGTGCACAAAGCACGACATGAACGCATCGGATGACACTTTCGGCCATTTTAGAAGTGGACTTTTCAGAATCTAAATTCATTTTTTAAACTCTTCTGATAATCCTCCTTTAAATGCAACTCTCCACACTTTTATTAGCGAAAGGGTAATTAAATGTAGTGCAATGGACCTTGGACCTAAATAGGAGTCTCTTATTATGTCCATGAATGGACATTACCCCCTCCATGCAAGGTAAGGGCAAATTGTAGCTCACCTGCCTAATTCAACCGTCACTGGTAACAACGTACCGTGTATTGTTAGGGGTAAGACCGAGGGAGACAGAGATAAAAAACATCACACTCCGTTAGATATAAAAACTAATTAACATCGTTTGTAAAAAGTCCAGGCTCTGTTACTAAGGAAATAGTGATCTGGAGTATAAGAAATTCATACTAAGCCCGATTATCGTTGTAAGGGGTGACATGCCCCTTTCACCGCCCCATTCCAATTACATTTACAGGCCATGTTGGTGAAGGATTCTATATTTATATTTTATCAACCCCGGTCCTGAATGGGGGTCTACACAAATTAACCTGCAAGCGACTCAGCCTTTGCTAAGATTTACGCTTACCAGGTCAAGTTCGAAAATGTAGGTTACAACTGCACATTCTTATATATAATAGCTATCGCAATAGCTTAAGAAAGGCCACCTATCCATGAATGGGTTTGCATTTGCAAAGGTTTAAAAATACAATCAATAAACATATTAACCAAATGAACATTGTTTTCAGTTAACATTTATTGATTTATTATTTTGATAGCAATATATCAACAATATGTCAGGTAATAAATAAAAAATATTATATATTAAAATAAAAATTGCATGTCGCGCATGCGCAGAAAGCATATCAAGACCAAGCGCTTTGTCATTTTTCTCAAAAGTAAATTGTGATTTATTTTTTGTTTGTTACTCGAGTTTTCAATATTCCCCCTTCAAACCTAACTCTTCACACTGTCATAAGTTGAAAATAATAACAAAACCGCCGTTGACAACATTACCTTATGGTGATGAGACAGAGCATGTCTACGTTCATGTAAGTAACTCGGTCTATAACAAGTTTCACGTTTACAAGGTTTTTATCACTAATGGGCGGTCCTACGGATTATAAGTAATGACACTTTACATGGTATCTTTTGAGGGCCCATCCATTAAAAATACAAAGCACAATCATCAATAGCACAATCAAAAGCCATTCTAAAGGAGAATTTCGCGGCAATTATTCGCATCCGCCTGCTGTCTTTAGAAAAATGGTTGGTTGCAATTTAAATTCATAATCATAGGCTTTAAGCTGATAAATATAACTTACCAGCAGGATAGCAAAGTTGGTCAGATGGCGAGAAAAGCACGTGGTGGAATTCTCGTCCGTCGAGTTGACCTCCAGGCCGTCAGTGGACCACACTCTCGCTGAAAGATTGCATTGCACTTTTTATTTGCAGTCCAAGTTCTGGTTAACACCCATAACTAATAAATTCAATGGAAATACAAAAGATGCAGTGGAAATCTAAGTACCGGTAAGTGCTGTTTTTCACATGAGTAATAGGATGGCATAGTGCGAGTATGGTTTATCGTTTTTAAAGTAGTATTGTCCCATATGGTGAAATAAAGTGATATAACAGCACAAATAAAACTGGCAATGACTTTACCCGGAAGTCACAAGCGTGACATCGTTTGTAGAAAAAATAGGGGCTACTAAAGGATTAGTCGATTAAAATTGTGAAACGACTTGACTTGACAACGTGGTATTTTTCTCAGCATATTCCGAGACTATAAATTCAGAATGTAAACTTCGAACACCACCCCATACCTGTGGCATTCCAAAAGGCACATATGTGAGGGGCACCGACCTGAAATGATAAGTGGTTAACGTTAGATCATGAATGAAATCCTCTACGTTTTGTATTGATCGATATATAGATCTTGCATAATAAATAACCCTTCTTAATCCATTTATACAACGACTTTTACCAAATGGGGCTAGGACCCACCAAAATACTCATTTGATGGGTCATAGAATATGATATAAAATAAACATGTTCTTACCCCCGAGGAATCAATTTAATTCCAAACATTAATTGCCCTACTAACAATCTTATATTATCAGTAAAACTGAAAGCGCGCTGAAAATGACAACTTTATACCTCCACATTCGGAAGAGTGAAAACCACTGGCTCCGTGAGATTCAGAATGCGTGTATTCTTCACAGTGGCCGCCACCACCCCTCTGTTCTCTAGGGACCCGTACTTCTCCTCTGAATGGTTATGTTCCATGAAGAACTTGCTGTTAGCGTAGTAGACGAACGAAACCCTCGTAGTTGTTGCGTTGACATTTTCAGCCTCGGACGCGGACTGTTCAAAAACCTCAGTGGGAAGGAACATTCTGGTGTTTTTCTGATTTGAAAAGAAAAATAAGGAGGCTGGATGATGACCGATTGAAGAAGGAATGCAGTGACTGAGTAGCAACTTTCCGTG